AAACATCGGTTAATATCATCTCGCGGATACCAACCTGGTAGTCAACACCTACCAATATGGCTCAGTTCAGTTGTCAATGACTTCATGGGTTTGTAACATGTCTTGGTCTGACCTCACCTTGCTTTCTTCCAGCTTACCTACATATCAGACATCATTGCTCGTCGAGGCAGTCGGTGGTTGGACATACGTAACACACGTTCCAATTATCTCAACTGATAAAGATGCAGTACTTCATCAGTTGATTTGCCATCTTAACCTATCACCTATGTTAACTTTTAAGATAGATAGTTATTTCTTTTTAGGTAATTTCATGATATCTTTCAGGAATAAGAACTCAAGGCATTTTTTTCATTTCGCCCCACCTTTTAAGTGACAGCGGTTAGGAAATGTCCAAGAAGCTCGTTCTTAAGGTTTTGTCTGTTTCTGGTAGGAAAAACAACAAAATAATGACCTGATCACCCAAACCATCGAAAATCCTTCATGATTTCATAGTGCATGTAACGCAACTATTCCAGTTAGAATTGATGAATGGATAAAAATTAGGAATAAGAAACGACCTAATGACATAACTGAAAAAACCTTTTTCTTTAACTGTAATTGAGACATCGAAGGCTAGCCATAGTGACCCGTCAGTTATCTTTCATGGTCAAGGAGATTGAGAGTCCAGAACTTACTAAGCATGAAAATGGGTTGATAAAAAGTCTATTCTACTAGCTAATGTCTCAGGATATTTCTGGGGTCACCTTGCTGAAGATTTGTGGACCAGGTGACCAGATGGACTTGAAATTTAACCAGGCTGCTAAAGTGGTATTAAATATCTCGAAGATAGGGACTAGATACAACAAAGTGGACATAAACTAAAGGAACTAGGAGTTTCTATCTACAAAGACTTGCCACTCGCTGACCGCACGAAAAAGTGGGAAGCTGAAAAAGAACGGTAATAAAAATCAAATGCCGGTGAAAATGACTTTATTATTGTAAATTTTCAGGTGAGACTACGGTAGAGAATGATCCTTAGGTCACTTAGGTTGGAGCACGACACCATTTCAAATCCGTTACACAAATGCCCGGAGCTTGCTCAACAAGCGATTGGAGCTAAATGTACAGATCGACCCTACATAGCCGTATGTAATCGCCGTCACAAAAAATTGACTGACGCCATTCATAGATAATAGTAAACTCGATTTCGAAACTTTTCCTTTAGTAAGAGCCGACAGAACCCAGAAGCATAAAGGCGGAGGAGCCTCATACATTAGAAATACTATTCCATTTTATCGTTAATGATATAACATCCCATGAGAGTGGAACGTGAGAATTAGTTAGCTGCTGCTTGAAATGTAAGGGTCAGTGGCTTCTAATAAATTTGGTGTTCCACAGTCCAAACTGTGAGGACGAACTCAACAATCCGTCTTCAAGTGGTTGATGTTTAATTTTAGATTTTAATGAACCTACTGTAGACTGGAAATATCTAAGGACTGAGCTGACAGACAATTCTTTCGAACAAAACCTAGCTGATGCGGTTACTACATGTGCTCTGGTGCAACATGTGGAAGAAGAAGCTATGCACAACCCGGATTGCGAATGACCATAAAGTTCTAGTCTTTGATTTTCAAATCATTGTCAACAACAATTTGTCGGCAGGAGCCATAATAAACGTTTAGAAAACAAATACACAAGAATTCATACATAAAACGCCTTGGAGAGATTGAATAACAAGCCCAGAATTCCCCATTGAGACGGCTTGAGAGGTATTTTAAAATTTGTAGATATAAGTTACAGAACCGCGTGCTACTTAGCCTAAACCAAGGGATATAAGAATCTCCGCTGTGGTTCAGTAAATAGGTTTGTACTCTTCTCTGTAAAAGAAATGGTTGCTGGGTACTGATGAAACAAAATCTCAATTTTGAGAAGCCCGAAACAATTCTGCCTTGATCCTACGCAACTTAAGAACATTATATGAAAGCTCATAAAGGATTCCATAGATTACCCGAAACGCCTTTATTTGCGCGTAAACCATAGGATTAAGAGCAGAGGCAATATTGCAGATGAGGAGTTCTCTAACTACCAATGTGTATACCGTACAGAAAACTTTCCCTGTAAACCTAAGCAGCGAGAATATCAAGATTTTCGAAAAAATTTGGAAGGATTTTTTAAGCATATGAGCGGAAACATGAGAATTTTGGAAGTAACAAGGTTCTAGAAAAGGTAATTCATGTCCCGCAAACTTATTAGTAGCCCGTGAAAGTTAGTATTCTCCAAAAGAGCAAATGCTACTTATAGATGTTATATTCCTTAACTTTCGTAAGACTTTTGACAAAGTTTCATGCAACGGGCGCTCATTTAAGTTAAATGTTATCGGTGTTAAGAGTAACTTACTTGGATAAGTGATTTCCTATTTTTGCTTTAAAAAAGAGTATGAGTTAGCTCCAAGTTATCTAGTTGGGAAACTGTGCTTGGAGAAGTGTATAGCTTAAGGGTGATATTTTTTCTATGCATAATTGACCTTTGATTTTGTTACGTGCTGATGAAATTAGGATACAGAACGTGATAAAAAGTGAAGGTGACAGTTTAGAGTTTGGAAATGATCTACAATTGAAAAGCTGTCGAATGCACCATGATGCATTTCGGTTACCTAGGTTCATTTACATAGTGAGTAACTTGTCGGCGAATAGTTAAACGGTGAATACCATAAGCAATTAATTTAAACTAACTTCTAACCCGAGGACATTCAATGTAAAGTTTCGTCTAGTCAAGACGAACGACTGGGTTCAGTCAGATAACAAACCGAAGATGCAAACATTGCAGTCAAGTTGAAATCAGAAAACTTATATACAGAAACATAAATGTGTTACATTGCACAGCATTTATTTGAAAAACTAGCATGATAAGTACTAGCACCAATAAATACAATAACGTTACATCATAACTACGTATATTGTAAAGTGCTACGAATAGTAAAACATGTCTCGCTCAGTTAATGTTCTTATTTCCAAGACGATTATGAAAGACCTCAGAACTTAAGATCATGTGAGCTTAAAGCGGAGTATCGTTTTAAGCGCTGATTTGTTAAGAACAAATTCACAACAAACCAAGTGATATCAGTCCCGTTGGCAAATACATTCAAAGAATCTTAGAACATTCACATACAATAAAAGTTGATACAAGATACGTTAAAATAAATCATCAAAATCTAAACAAATACTTTAAAGACTTACTTGTTTCATTATCTTCATCATCAATAGACGTTGGTTGCAATACATATCTAGAGCATGCAACAAACAATTGAGTATGAGGAGTGAAAATGTTGTTTTTAAAGAATTTGCAGGAAGTACTTGACATGCGAATATGAATTTCAGAGTTTGATATTAACCAACCACGCTGAATGAAGTTTCCATTTTCTGTAGGAAATAACTGGCAGTTTTATAAAACTTACCAAAAACACCAAATTTCGTATGAATCGATGTATTTTTGTCCGTAGTATTTAAATAATCTGAAGTTGGGACTAAGTGGATACTGTTACCTATTGGACAGAATTCCCTGGGCTTTAAACGGGACTCCCACGCCAAAATCTTTAGAGTTGGTGAAGCAGCGTTCTCGTCAATTTTTTCAACTAATTCCGCCAAGAAGAAACGATATTGGAACGCAGACAGTGATTGAAGTGTGAGAGAAAAGTGCCTTGTTTCAGTACTAAAACAGACACCTTGTATATGATTTATACAAATACTTATTGGTATTTTCAGTCTGACCGTCGCAAAATAAAGCTTTCTCAGGATTCCACAGCCCGAGCACATCCAATGACCCCGTAACTCCAACCACTATCTTGCGTCCTAATTCAGCTATAGAAGTCTCAACATAAATTCCGAAATCCTCCAGGGACTTGTAGTCAATATCTACCGAGAAAGACAGGGTGGGAAGACACTGTACACTGTCCATCCCGACTAGCCCAAAATGATTTGAAACTGACAGGAAAATTTAACCTCTGTAAAGGATGCTTAAAAATTACTGACAAACAAATGAATTGTTTATTCATTCAAAGTAAATGACCAAAAACCGAAAATTTCAGTTCAGTTTGCGATAAAACTAATGCGTATTATAGTCTTTTGTTTCGCAATATTTATAGCACTGTATTCAGTCTACGGCTTCGAAACTTCTTGCTACGTTCCAATGAGTTTTTCTCATAAAAGATTTGCCTGCCAGTTTATAGCATGATTGCTGTTATTTTCGAGTATACCATCCTAATCAGCCGTAATCGACCTATTTTTTATTAGGATCATAAAAAGCAAGTTAGTGGTGAAGGGGGATTACGTTTAGCTGTATGAACAGAGGTTGATGACTACGATATCAGTAAATATGTCCGAAATAGAGATACTTAGTAACTTTTGTTATGATTCTTATTTGTATTATTTCACTTCATTTACAAAATTAAAGTTGTCGTCTTTAAATTTGTTGTTTAAATTTGCCCTCAATTTTTCTGTTACTGCTTTGTTCTCTGTTTTCATGATATACTGATTATCACTGCCAACGCATTTCTTTTCCTCATTCAGCTGCCACGCTGAGAGATCTGGTATATAATTCATACTGGTATTCTCATCATTTGACCATTCTCTGCAAAAATTATCTTCGATTTTAAAGTTAACGTATTTGAAGAAATTGGTTATTTATAATGCTAATTACAAGATTAAAATCCGACAAGCTTCCACTTGGCACTATAAGTAACGTTCATTTTGCATATTGTTAAGTGCCTCTACTTCTCTTACCACATTCTCATCACTGTTTCCGTAGTAACATTTCGGTTGGCACCAAACTTTCTAACCAGTAAATAGAAGGGGCGTCACAAATGAGCATTATTATATATTTTAATCAAGTTTATTTTCTGACCTATTTTAGTGTTGGAGTGGCTTTTAATTTTACTAAATAGCCCGTTCATTTTAATGTCTAATGCTGATATTCCTTTTCTTGACATCCACTACTGTGGCTAGTAGTCGGAGGGTTGAAATGCTAGTCGGTTCCCTTCACGAGCAAGTCAGTATGTATAGGTTCATGGGCCTATTCTCTAGGACATTTCCTCAGTTCACATTTAGCTCTCACCATATTCAATTCATTATCACTCTGTTTCTCACTTAAGTAGCTCTTTGAACAGACAAATCTGATTATGATGAATAAATCGGTAGTGAAACTATATATTGTGGTGCGAGCTACTTATAAGTAGTATATGACGTGAGCGTCAACGTAATGTCTGGCAGCAGAAGATGGGGGAAGATCAAGAAAGGAAGATTTAGAACACAATGGAATTTGAATGAAACGCATGAATAGTGACAATGGGTCGATGTTTTGCAACAGGAACAGTCCAGTTCGATATGATGGACTGATATTTTGCAAATGAACGATTTACGATATGGTTTTCCGATTTTACTGAGTAACTCTATAATTTTCGTTAAATACAATTCGGTTGCCCTACCTGTGTTCTCGTTCACTACAATATCACCTAAAAATGCATGTCTTTGAATTACTACCAAGCAAATGCACAGCCAATATACCTCTAAAATCTTTCACTCTGGATTATCATAATATGTTTAAATCAATACACATCAAGTGAAAAAACAGTCAGTTACCCTTCATTACCTAGATCAGTGGTCAGGGGTCCTTCTTTTGCAATAAACTCAGTTTCTTACCATTCTACTCATGGCTACATATCCTTATTGGTCCACCTTAGTAAGACTCTGAATCATTTAAATACGACTTGTTACAAATGTGTTGAAGTTGGTTGCTACCATTCCCAATGCCATATAGGACAGTCACTGAACTCGTCACTAAGATCACTGCTGTTATCTTCTTATCTATTTCGGATTGCGGCTAATACTACTGCCATAATCTGAAAGTGTGAAGATTTTCCGCCCTCGAGAGCGCTAATCTTGTTTCGGCTGCCATAAGACAGGAACTGGTCTCGTTATCTGAGGTATAATAGCGGGTATATGTTACAGTCTCATGAACAACTTCCGAAGCATCACCGAAAAAATTAATTTTTATGAGCGAACTGTTCATTTACGGAAGAAACATACACTTAGGAGACCTAATGCTCTTAATCCCTTGTAATTCGTCCACAAAGTCTAACCAACTATTTATTTTAAAATTTGGAATCTCTCCATCCTAAGCCAGCAGTGAATCGCAAAATCACTGAAGTAACTGCTTCATGGACTGCATAAGCAGCACGAACAATCACAAGGAACCATCGGGACCACAATCAACAGCAAACTTCTCCGTTTGTGGTATGTTGATCTTAAATGTGAGATAGTCATCCGCGATACCTGAGAACAAGCCTAATATGAGCTGGGTTGGAAGACATTTAAGTCAAATTCATTTACAGTGTCTGCCCGATTATCTGGTGGGATTGATTCAGTGACTTGTAAGCAGTTAATTTAGGTAAGTCCAAAATAAACGCATGTTTTCTGTTCATCTGACTGTCATGCACACTTTCGATAGAGGGTATACATTCATTTACAACTTCTTGCATTGATCTTATCAAACTTTTGCTAAATATCTCTATCTTTACAGAAATAACAAGCAATATTCCCTGCCGTATCTTTGTACGTCAAATTTCTTACATAATAACAGGTGGAAAATACTATCTATCTTTGGGATCTTGACTTGGAGAAACATCTTTTCAAAGACGGTAGTTAATTTGGTTTGACATAGTCTGAATTGCAGAAAAAATCCAAGTACACTACTTTTAGAACTATCACTTTCGTTTCAGGAACAGTCCAGTTCGATAGGATGAACTGATATTTTGCAAATGAAGAATTTACGACATGGTTTTCCGATTTAACTGAGTAACTCTGTAATTTTCGTTAAATACAAATCGGTTGCCCCACCTGTGTTCTCATTCACTACAGTACGATAAGACCGTTGGATGCCGGTTTAATGTTCCGAAGATTAAGCGTTCGCGCTCAGGACCTAAGGTCCTGGGTTCGACATACGTGAGCGCGCTTCATAGATGCGAACTACTGATTAGTCCCATACTGGGATGAAACGGCCGTCCAATGCTTCCTGGTTTCTGATGGGTTTCCAACATCGATTGACCCATAATTTCAAAGAAACTCAACAATCTCCACGACCGTATAATGGTTTATGAGCAGCTGTGCAATTTAATGTTGTGATGTTTATATCTGCTTCCTTACCTTCGAGACTAAAATGATAACTTGTCATTTGATATACAAGAAAAGTGGCAAAATCACCATTCAAAGATGCCTAATTTTCCAAACCCCCTTTAGGACAATAGCTTGATCGAAACAAAACTCGAGCAAACCTTTTATCAGTTCCAATCTCAAACTAAGCTTGAGCTACTGTTAGTATCACCTTCAGTATACAGTATTAAGCGAAATTGAACTTTGTATTTCTCATGGCCCGCTCTTCTGAGAAAGACATTAGTACTTCAGAGTTGGTTTGTTTTACCGAACATTGTGTTCTTACTGGTAGCTGCTGCCCATTTATTCTCTACTTCCAGCAATAGACGTGATACAGTATGGCTGTGGATTTCGCATCTCACATGTATCCAATTTTCTCTGATATTATACATATATTTAGCAGCACAAATGCTCTCGACAGTGCGAGTATAGTGACTGAAAATACGGTAATATTGGCCAGGCCATCTATCGGAATGCACAGTATCGATTTTATGTAAGTTAGCATCATTGAGAATGTAGGCAACGTATCAACCTAGGCAACGTATCGACCTAGCCTTGAAAGCCTAAGATTTTTAGCTCAAGCTTCAGATCGGGCTGCTTTTCTAACTCTTTTTTCCTAGGTAATTCATCATCTAACTCTAGCCGTATAGAAGTAATCTGATTTGAACCTATACTATGAATATTCGAACTGTCATCACACTTTGCAAGCAGAT